CGCCAACTGCCCATGGCCCCTCCTCCTAGCTAGCACTGCCCCCAATTGGCTCCCTCACCCTAATCAGGACCAGGGTCGTTGGCTAACCTCCCACTTCCCCTTCCCCCTGCTGCCTGATCGGCACTGATCGGGCAGGCCGGCAGGACCCCACTTGTGCACGAATTTGTGCACCAGGCCTCTAGTTAAAAAATAATTACAGAATTTCTTAATGAGCATCATATAATGTAAGACTTCAAATTTCTCAATTCTGTGATTAACAATTTTTCACATATTTATATTTCTGAAATTGGATTGCATCTTAAAATTAATGTGTACATTTAAATGGTGGCATCTTCTTCTCCTCCTAAAAACTTAATAAATTGGTGGCAAAAATATGGTATTTCATTCAGAGATGGTTTGCCTTTTTAAAATATGGCTGTTTCTGAAGTTCAGTAGAGGGGCGTAGATTTTTGAAAAAAAGTAGTTTTTCATTTTTCTACCTGTCAGCTAGGTTTTACCTGCAGGAAGTTTACTATTTACTTTTAGTATGAAATGAACTTATTTTTACTAGTGACAACCGATCAACATTTCAAAGACTTTAATTTTGAAACATTAAGAAATTACTTCCACGTTGTGTGCTTCCTCATCTATGACACTGTTTAATGTTTCCACGTTCCCCAGGCGGGAGCAGAAGTGAACGTCCTGAACGACATGGGCGACACGCCCCTTCACCGAGCAGCCTTCACGGGGCGAAAGGTGAGGACCTCCGTGTTCCATGTTCCATGTTCCGTGTTCCATGTTCGTGTTTGCAAGTGAAGTGTCTGGAAGCGCGGTCACAGGTGTTTTCTCTTTCACAACCAGAGGAATTGCCCCTGGGCAGAGGCACACGCGTGTAAGCCGGCACTTGGGGTCAGAAGGTCCCACGCTGTTAGTCGGCGTTGGACAGTGAGGTCGACTGTGAAGGTCATGAGCCTCCACTCCAGGAGCCTGCAGCCTCCCGTGTGCTGCAGGGAGGGGGATCCTGACTGTTCCTTTAAACAGCTTCAGAGGAGTAGTGTGCCCTGTAGGACACGCATGACACGCACCTGCTGTTGGGATTGTCGGCGCATTTACACGTCTGTGTGGCCATCCCCACATCCAGCCTCACAGAGGAATAGTGTGCCCTGCATGACACACGTGACACACGCCTGCTGTGGGATTGTCGGTGCATTTACACGTCTGTGCGGCCATCCCTGCATCCAGCCTCACAGAGGAATAGTGTGCCCTGCATGACACACGTGACACACGCCTGCTGTGGGATTGTCGGTGCATTTACACGTCTGTGCGGCCATCCCTGCATCCAGCCTCACAGAGGAATAGTGTGCCCTGCATGACACACGTGACACACACCTGCTGTTGGGATTGTCGGTGCATTTACACGTCTGTGTGGCCATCCCCGCATCCGGCCTCACAGAGGAATAGTGTGCACTGCATGACACACGTGACACATACATGCTCTGGGATTGTCGGTGCATTTACACGTCTGTGCGCCATCCCCACATCCGGCCTCACAGAGGAATAGTATGCCCTGCATGACACACGTGACACATACATGCTCTGGGATTGTCGGTGCATTTACACGTCTGTGCGCCATCCCCGCATCCGGCCTGGAACATTCCGCCCCGAAGCTCCCTCCGGCTTTCGCATTCATTTGCTGCGTCTGGTCCACGGCTAGGCGTCCACTGACTTGCTCTCTGTCTGTTGATGTCTGCTATCGTAGAGACTTTCTACAAAAATTCCCACGATTCCATTTGTCTGGCTTCTTTTAGCCTAGCATTGTTGGAGCTCGCCCATGCTGTAGCGTGAATCGGTACTTAGTTTGTTTTTATGACTGAATAATATTTTGTTGTATGGGTGATATACCACATTTATATTTTTAAAAATATGTATTTTTTTATTGATTCCAGAGAGAGAAAGAGAAACATCAGTGAAGAGAGAGAATCATGGATCGGTTGCCTCCTGCATGCCCCACACTGGGGATTGAACCCACAACCTGGGCATTGAACCCACAACCTGGGCCTGTGCCCTGACCAGGAATCGCCCCAGCAACCTCTGGTGCATGGGATGATGCTCAACTACTGAGCCACCCCAGCTGGGTGCACACCTACCACATTCTGATACTTAAGTTATTTTACTCCAGCTTCTAAGTAATGTATACACAACGCCATCACGGGTTCTAGTTTAATGTTTCTAAGAAGTGAAACAGGAAAATGTGAACACACGATGCAAAGCAAAATGAAACGTAGGCCCTGCATGAGGGCTTTGCAGGAGACTGACATCGAACACGCATTTCATGCTGCCTCAGTGTGGACGACAGAGCACGTGTTCCCACCGCGCCCCCTGGGGGCTGCACACCCCGTAAAACTAGCATCGCGTCTCCCACGTCCTCCTGCACGCCGCCTGCGCGCGCTCCGTTTCTGCTGTCGTGTGAGGTGGTGTGACTGAGCCGGCCGGTGGACTGGCCTTGCACATGGCAACACCAGAGCATTTGAAATCCTTACAAGGACAGGTAGCCACTTGGAGTAAATAGGAGTGACGTCACTTTTTTCTGACTTTAGGAAATCCTTCGCTTCATTGTAAACCCTGCTTCCCTAGTGGTGTATTCCAGCAGCCGCTGCCACTCAGACAGTAATGTTCTGTCTTATAAACAGCAAACGTGATTTTAAAAATCTCTCTGTGTTGGGGAAATTACTTTGGTCAACAGGCTTTGGAAAAAGAATGTTAAATGGATCTGTCTGCTGTAATTCAAATAATATCTTGTTAACATAGTTTGATCGCATGAAATCAACTTGGTTAAAAAAGATAACTAAAAATTAATTATAGAAGCTAGAAGTTGTCTTTGTTCATGGTGGATTGACAGTTGTTTAGGCAGTCATTAATTATGACGACAATTAGTTGAATTTTAGTATTCAATGTATTGTAGTTATTTAGTATTCAGTTACTGTAGAAAAGTCTGTTACAAAAATTCCTATGCACTGCTTTTCTCTATTGTAGAAACTCAGTAGTAATTAGTACTTTGTAAAAGGGCTATTATACAACAAAGTCTTGGTTTAATAATAGTTAAAAATATTTTTTCTTTTAGGAGTTGGTAATGCTTCTTTTAGAATATAACGCCGATCCCACTGTTGTTAATGGGAGTGGACAGAGAGCCAAAGAAGTCACTCATGACAGAGAAATCAGAAACATGCTCGAAGGTAAATGTCACGGACCTTACCCTAACGTTTAATGTCTAGACCAGCCGTGGGCAAACTACGGCCCGCGGGCCGGATCCGGCCCATTTGAAATGAATAAAACTTAAAAAAAAAAAAAAGACTGTACCCTTTTACGTAATGATGTTTACTTTGAATTTATATTAGTTCACACAAACACTCCATCCATGCTTTTGTTCCAGCCCTCCGGTCCAGTTTAAGAACCCATTGTGGCCCTCGAGTCAAAAAGTTTGCCCACCCTTGGTCTAGACGGTAACCTCACATGAGTGGCGTTTTCTCTCATTGTAGTCAAGGTTCAGAGCAGGAGCAGACGTTGCTTCTAACATGACCAACTAGGGCACCGAGCCTGTGCTCTAGGGGGTGTGATCGGGGAGTCACTGATTAGACACAGAATTGTCTCTACGAGTTTCCTCAGAGCTTTCAACTGTGAGCTCGATGCCACATCGTGGCGAGTTTAAGAATCTGCTTCTCCAGACCGGCCGGTGTGGCTCAGTGGTTGAGCATCAGCCTATGAACCAGGAGGTCACGGTTCACTTCCTGGTGAGGGCACAGGCCCAGGTTGAGGCTCAATCCCCAGTGGGGGGTGTGCAGGAGGCGGCCGATCAATGATTCTTTCTCATCATTGATGTTTCTATCTCCCTCTCCCTCTCCCTCTCTGAAGTCAATAAAAATATATATTTTAAAAAGAAGTAGATTTGTATTCTTATGTGGAAGTATGTAGGTGTATATAAATCTAAATACACTCAGGGTTGGTACATTCCCACCAGTGCTATTTCTTATTGCTGTTCACACTGAAGGTTTTGGAGGTATGGACCCCTCTCCCCACGTGTCTACCTTTCCAAGTTAGCTATGTAGTGTGTTTCCGCTAAGACAATGCTTCACAACCATTGGTGATGGGTGCTGTGGTGAGTAACAGGCGAAAGACCTCGGAATTGAAGACAAGTTCCTATGAACCTGAAGGAAGGTGACAGGATCTGACATGCAAGGCGATGAGGACAGCAGTGCGTCTGTCTGCGTTTGAGTCACAGCCCAGAGCCCTCGTGCCTTTCTCAGCACAGCCCTGTGTTCTCTGTCCGTCTGTGATGAAGTTGCTGCTGCTATTCTGACTGAGAAATATATTTTTCCTTTTGCAGCTGTAGAAAGAACTCAGCAAAGAAAGCTTGAAGAATTACTTTTAGAAGCAGCAAGAGAAGGAAAAACAGCAGAACTCATAGCTCTGGTAAAAAAATTTAAAAAAAGGTATTATTTCTTTATAGGAGGCCCAGTGCACAAATTCATGCATGGGTGGGGTCCCTCGGCCTGGCCAGTGATTGGGGCCGGTTGGCGCCATCTCACTTACTCCCGATTGGGGCCGATTGGGCTGGCCAGGGGGAAGGGCCGCGGGAGGTTGGCTGTGGAAGCGCACTGACCACCAGGGGGCAGCTCCTGTGTTGAGCGTCTGGCCCCCCCCGGTGGTCAGTGCATGTCATATCAACCGGTCGTTCGGTGGTCCAGTCATTCGGTCGCCTAGGCTTTTATATATAGATTCTGCCCTTGAAGACACATGTTTCCTTAATCCCTTCCCCGGCAGAAACGTGTATACACGTTTTCACAAAATGTTCTTTTTTCAGTCGTCGACGAGTATACTCGTCTAAAACTTTACCTTCAAAAACCAGCTACATACGTACCATTCTAAATAATTTCATCTAGAAACTTTCTGAGGAAATACTATTCTTAACCACAAAAATGGGAAGAAAAAATAATTACAAACTGTTTTCATAACCAGCATCAAAAATACTATATAGAACCAAAATAAAAAAATTAGTCTGAAAAAGAAACGTTTTTAACAAAAAAAAAATGGTTGGGGAAGGGGTTAATGTTAACTTTATAACTTAGTGGCATCGTGGGGCCGTAATACTCAAGTTCATCATAACAGAACACAAGCCTGTCCTTTACATGTGCAATGCCGTGTTTCCTCTGAATTCCTGACATGCTCCCCACCCTCCTGAAACCCGCTGGGCTGGGAGCCGGGGTTTCCGAGCAGGAACTGAACGTGAGGCAGTTGAGGGTGCAGTTGGTGCAGGCCTTACGCAGGCATCGGGCTCTCACTTTGACGGCCGTTTCTGGAGGGTCTGCCCAACGTCTAGAAGGAACCCTGTGAAGGGGGGACAGTGTTTTGGGATATTTGTATCATGTTGGGACAGACGGACAGCTCTCCTGTCGGAGTGGGGGCCTGGGCCTTCATGGCCCCTGGAGGACAGCCTGGAGGTGACACGGTGGCTGGTTTAGGGAGCTGCAGCCGCTGGGAGCCCGGTGCCAGGAGCCGCTGGGAGCCTGGCATGTGGTCTGCGGCTTCGCCCAACACTCAACACCTGCCGGTGCTGCTGGGTGAGGCCTGCCTCTGACACCTGCTTCTGCATGTCTCTCCCTCGGCAGCTCAACAGCCCCAACCCCCCCGACGTCAACTGCGCGGACCAGTTGGGGAACACGCCCCTGCACTGCGCGGCCTACCGGGCCCGGGGGCCCTGCGTGCTGGCCCTGCTGAAGAGTGGAGCCGACCCCAGCCTGCGGAACAGGAACGGTGAGCGGGCACGGGGCAGGGCGGCTGTCCGGGGGTCAGTGTTCTGTGGGAGTCTGACTGTGCGTTGGCCCTTCTGGCATCGAGGGCTCTGCCCTGGGCATGCAGCTCCCTGGCCGGAGGTGGTGTGAGGGCAGGATTCTGTGAGCGAAACCCCACTGCCCTCTGCCCAGAGGAGCCATGTCTCAGACAAAAGCGTGGAGTGGCGGGCCTTCTCCCGTGACGTCTCCTCCGAGTGAGCTGGAAACCCAGCGTGATGGTTATCTTCCCGTTAACAGTGTGAGCGGCTTTTCCCTCAAGAATCCACGGTCAGCCCGGCTTTACCCGTGGGCAGTTCTGGGACGTGACCTCTGAATTCACCTGGAATCCCTCCGCCATCACTGCTGCCCACTTCTCCGGTGCCTGCGGCGTCCCCTGGATGCCTTAGGCTGTGTGACTGTTACTCTCAGTTTTCTCTTGCCCACGTTTACCAGCCATGATCCACCGAGTGGTTAGAAAGTTTATTACAGACATTATCACGACTTCACGATAGACGCGTCATTAACTGACACGCAGCATCCTCTCCAGGAACTGCCAGTAGTGATCCCTCCCTGACAGGTGGTTTCTTCAGACGCGTCTTATATTCAGGAAAGAGAAGTGCTCCTCAGATCCACGACCAGGGACAGCCCCACGGCTCTGGGAGCGATACACCTTCTGTGGGGGAGGGAACGGGGTGTGAGTGACATCTGGACAGAGCTTACACAGCAGCCGGGGCAGCACCACCCTATTCGTAACTCCCAGAGCTCAGTTCCCCGTTATCCTTACAAAGGTGTTTGTTTTTAACAATTTGCAGAGTTTTAAGTAAGTCAGATCATGTTACCCTTCGACGGGAAACCCTTCAGGGGCTTTGCATCCTTTTAGAACAAAACTCAGGCTCCTGGCAGCGGCTCACAGTGGTCTGTCTGCCTGCACAGCCCCTGGACGGCCCCCGCCACACCCC